CTTTAGAATTCTGGTGACCAATTCTTTGTCTAGGTGGAAAGTTCTAGTTTTCCCTCTCTGTAATAGTAACAGTCTTTCAGGTAGTGCTAGATGACCATGGCTAGCTAACTGAATGTTTTATAGTAATAAAATTAAACTCCATATCACAGAAATATTTTTTAAAAACAATTTGTAGCGTAAGTATTAACCTGTATCATTAGGGCTATAAAGGAACAAAAGGCTCTGTTACATATCTATTTCTCCATGTACTTTACTGTACGTCATGTTGTTTCTTTTCTCTCTTGGCTGCAGCTCATATTAAATTGACTAGTTAGGCTTCCTTGTTTCTCCCTTCATCCTCACATTTTAAATTTATCCTCAACTAATTTTTTTTCTCACAGATCTCATTTCTTTAGTGACTGGTCTTTCGGTCCATATAGTGTCTTCATTATCAGCATATTTAGTTATGGCTTTCTCTTTAGTTATCTATGTGTGGCTTTCATTCAACAATTATTGCCCACAAGATTTACTGTTTTTTTTTTTTTCTTTTCTTTGGAAGAGCTGAATTTATGCACTTCTTTATCTGAATTTATGCACTTCTTTATCTTTTTGACAAACAGAATAAAAGCAATGAATACTATCTGCAATGCCAACCCACTTAAATAAGGTACTACTATAAACTAAATTCTCATTTTCCCCCACAAGAAGTGATGTATGCAAATAATTACCTCCTGCATATGCCCATAATGAATTATTTTCTCATGTTTTTTAGCTCACAATAAAGTAGTTATGCCAGAAAAATAAAGTTTAGAATTTGTGAAAAATCACTTTGTGTTCTGAAAATCAGTTTAGCTAAAATCCAAAGAATGATTTCAGGTTAAGCTGTGGCTAAATGTATCATTCTGTGGTATATCTGGATGTGCAAAATCGTAAGGGGAGTTAGAAATAAACAGTTTGAATTGTAGTTTTTATTGAAATTGAAACTTGAAAAGATAATGCTGGGATTTTCGTATGTTTATGTATTTTGATTGCCCAATAAAGATCTACAATGAATAGTTTAAGAAAAAAACATGGGGAGTAGTAACTATGTAGGACTGTAATAACAATTTAGGTTAGTGTTGTAGTAAGTGGAAGTCATTTTCAAAAAGAGAACACACTGAGCACTTTTGTGGCAGGCCATATTTACAGCAGCAGAAATATAAAAAACACGTGGTGTATTCGAATGTTATGACCGTGGAGAGAAACGCGAGGGGCCTGACTTTTCACTACAAGCAGGTAGTGCATAGTTTTACTGGCACCGATAGAAGTCAAAAGACATGGTAGCATCCTGGTTCTGCCACTTACTAGGTATGGGACCTTGGGAAGAATTCTTTGACTATCATTGACCTCATTCGTAAAAATGGTACTAATGGTACCTCTCAGGTATGTGCTATGAACAAAAGTAGTGGGAAATGTAAACACATTTGTAAACTGGAAAATATGTTTACAAATGTGAGACAAAATGATCACAGCAGTATTCAGTGACTTAGTAAAACTCGAAGCAAGTTTTGGTAAACCTGAAGGATGATAAAATGGCCATAGCATCAAGAAAAGAATGGGAAAGGAGGCAATGGCATGGGGATTTTAAAGAAATTTTCAGTGTTTTGACCTAGAATTTATTTTGGTTATAGATCACAAACTGTGCTAGTCAGTGAGACGCTGAATATACAAGATGACATCTTATGCTGTCGTAGTAGGAACAGAAAAAGAGAGAGCAAATGCTTCTCACTATAAATGCTTTCTATAAAGAAAATAGAAAATGTTAGAAGATAGCAAGGAAGTTTGTAGTTAGTAAGGGAATGGCAGAGGAATGGAAATCTGTGGTCAGAGAAGACTCTCTGAGTGTGGTATTTAAGCTGCCAACTAAAGGATGAGAAAGAGCCAGCCATGTGAAAGTCTAAGAGGAGGAAATTCTGAAAGGCGAGAACAAAGGATCACATCTATTCATTATTTTGCTCTTAACACCCTGGAATGGGCAGAAAGCCATCATCATAATTATTTTTTATGATTATAGTATGTACAACAAATGTGCAATAGAATCCTGAGACATTTCAGATGCTTCCTATTTTTTTTCCTTTTAAAGAAAGCTTGCTACACTTCTGAAGTTTGTTTTCTCTCTCGCTCGCTCGCTCTCTCGCTCTCTCTCCTTTCCTTTCCTTTCCTTTCCTTTTCTCTTCTTTCTTCACAGGGTCTCACTTTGTTGCCTGTGCTAAACTGCAGTAGTGCAATTTCAGCTCACTGCGGCCTTGACCTTCCAGGGTAATGTGATCCTTCCATCTCAGTGTTCTGAGTATCTGGGATTACAGGCTTGCATCACCATGCCCAGCTAATTCATATGTCTTTTGCACAGATGGGGTTTGGCCATTTTTCCCAGGAAGGTTTCAAACTCCTGGGCTCAAGCAATCCACTCACCTTGGCCCCCCAAAGTCTTGAGATTAAAGGTGTGACCCACTGCCCCTTGCCTGATGATGGCAGCCAATCACCATGACACGTGTATGTCTATGTAACAAACCTGCATGTTCTACACATATACCTCAGAACCTAAAGTATAATAAAAAAAATAGTTGCACAGTTGATCACATATTTGCTTGCTTTTATTTAAACATATAAATTTTATTACTTACATTATCATTCTATTCTATCAGAATATTCTATTCTACCATTTTTTTCTATCAGTAAAGATTTTATCAAAAAATACGTAGATTTTATCAAGTCTTTGTTTACCTAAATGAAGCATCTTCTATGGTGTTCTATTGATGCTCCGTATGACATATTTCCAAGTTTTCTATCATAACTATCTTACTGAAATATTTATATGAGGATATTTAATTTTTAAAAATATTCTAAGTATTATATCAAGAGATATATTTATATATATTTTATATATGTGCATGTATGTATATGTAAGTTTTTGAGATGGAGTCTTGCTCTTTCACTCAAGCTGGAGTGCAGTGGTGCGATCTCTGCTCACTGCAACCTCCACCTCCTGGGTTTAAGCAATTATCGTCTCATCCTCCCAAGTAGCTGGGACTACAGGTGCACACTACCAATCCAGGCTAATTTTTTAAATTTTTGGTAGAGACAGGGTATCACCTGTATTGGTCAGGCTGCTCTCTAAACTCCTAACCTCAGGTAATCCACTTGCCTCGGCCTGCCAAAGTGCTAAAATTACAAATGTGAGCCAAAGTACCTGGCATGCATATATATATGATATATATATATATATATATGATATATATGATATATATGATGTATATATATGATATATATGATATATATTTACATATATATAAAACATATGTTTTATGTGTGTGTGCGTGTGTGTGTACATATATATATATATATATATATATATATATTTTTTTTTTTTTTTGTAGGCAGAGTCTTACTCTGTCAACATGTGCCAGGCTGGAGTGCAGTGGCACAATCTAGGCTCACTGCAACCTCTGCCTCCTGGGTTCAAGCAACTCTCCTACCTCAGCCTCCTGAGTAGCTGGGTCTACAGGCTTGCACCACCACACCCAGATAATTTTTGTATTTTTTAGTAGAGATGGGGTTTACCATGTTTGTCAGGATGGTCTCGATCTCTTAACATTGTGATACGCCCGCCTCAGCTTCCCAAAGTGCTGGGAATACAGGTATGAGCTACTGCACTCGGCTGCCAATATGTATTTTTTAAATGTTTTCTTATTTTTGGTGGAGATTGCAAAGTAGAGTTAGGTACTTTGAAGCTAGCTCCTGACTGAAATGTGCGCATGCTAATATTCTGTCTGTGAATGTTTCCTTTGGGCTGCCATGCTTGGATAAGCAAGCCAATAAACATATGAAGGTAACAGCTGAGCCTGCTCTAGAAAGTGTAGATGACATTCTCTACTGGAATGCTTTGGTTTTCAGTACATGCTTCTCTTATTTTTAAGTCAAATTAGTTTTAAAATACTAAATTGAAATTTTGGGGACAGAGTCTTGTTCTGTTGCCTAGGCTGGAGTGCAGTGGCATGATCTTGGCTCGCTACAGTCTCCACCTCCCAGCCTCAAGTAATCCTCCCACATCAGCCTCCCAGGTAGCTGGGACTACAGGCACATGCCACAATGCCATTTTTTTTTTTTTTTTTTTTTTTTTTTTGGTAGAGATAGGTTCTCATTATGTTGCCCAAGCTCATCTTGAACTCCAAGCTCAAGCAATCCACCTACCTTGCTTTTGCCAAGGGCTGGGATTCTAAGAGTGGGCCACCAAGCTTGGGAAAACTGAGATTTATTTAAGTAAATTGATTAGTGCTGGGTGTGGTGGTGCACATTGGTTATCCCAACACTTTGGGAGGCGGAAGTGAAAGGATAACTTAAGACCACGAGTTTGGGCTGGGAGCGGTGGCTCATCCCTGTAATCCCAGCACTTTGGGAGGCTGAGGTGGGTGGATCATGAGGTCAAGAGATCAAGACCATCCTGGCCAGCATGGTGAAACCCTGTCTCTACTAAAATACAAAAACAAATTAGCTGGGTGTGGTGACATATGCCTGTCGTCCCAGCTACTCAGAAGGCTGAGGCTGGAGAATTGCTTGAACCTGGGAGGCAGAGGTTGCAGTGGGCTGAGATCATGCCACTGCATTCCAGCCTGGTGCCTGGTGACAGAGCAAGACTCTGTTAAAAAAAAAAAAAAAAAAAAAAAAACAAACCCACAACACCAGGAGTTTGAGACCAGCCTGGGCAATATAGTGAAACCTTGTCTCTACAAAAATAACAAAAAGTAACCTAGCATGATGGTACAAAGCTGTAGTTTCAGCTACTGAGGAAGTTGAGGTGGGAAGACTGCTTGAGGTCGGGAAGTTGAGATTGCAGTGAGCCATAATCATGCCACTACATTCCGGCTCTCGGTGACAGTGAGACCCTATTACAAAAAAAGAAAAAAAAATGATAAAGTCTTTATGCAACTCATTATAATTTTTTACATGGAAACTCATGCTTGGTATTACCTCAGCAGTGTGTTCCTGAGAAAGTGTCAGAGACTTTACCTGGACCTGCCAATGGAAAAAACAAAAACACAGCATAGTCAATGTAAAGAAGGTAAGATTACTATTTTATTTAAAAAGTCATTTGATGGAATTTTTTTTTAAGTATGAGCGCTAATCAAATAGCTAAAGAAAGTGTTATATTAAATGTATTATAAGTAACGGAGAAGTAAAATGGTGATAAGTTGTGTATCTAATCAGGGGTCAGCAGTTGAGTCTATTAGAGTACCATTAAAGGAGCTGAATTATTAGTTCCCATTTTAAGATACTCTAAAATTTAAGGCAAGTCAGGAAAGAGGGAAGAGGAAATGAAAGAGAAAGAATGAGGGGGGGGGGCCGAGCACGGTGGCTCAAGCCTGTAATCCCAGCACTTTGGGAGGCCGAGGTGGGTAGATAACGAGGTCAAGAGATTGAGACCACCCTGGTCAACATGGTGAAACCCCGTCTCTACTAAAACTACAAAAAATTAGCTGGGCATGGTGGCGTGTGCCTGTAATCCCAGCTACTCAGGAGGCTGAGGCAGGAGAATTGCTTGAACCCAGGAGGCAGAGGTTGCGGTGAGCCGAGATCGCGCCATTACACTCCAGCCTGGGTAACAAGAGCGAAACTCCGTCTCAAAAAAAAAAAAAAAAAAAAAGGAGGGTAGTAAAGTCAAATTGATTTGTAGAAGGAAGAGCAGGGTGACAGAAATAAGAAAGAAGGTAACATCAGCTTCCAGCACCAAAATGTGTCAGAGAATTAGGGTAACATCTTCCTGCTCTTGCTGTCACTCTATTGGAGAGGCATTAAAAATTGAGGTACCTCACAACACAGACCTGTTTTATCTACCACAGATGAATATCACCCTAAATGGTCAGCCATGTATGGCCATAATTTAGTTTTATAGAAAATGTTATAACTTCACCAGATAGTATCATATAGGCCAAATTAACATAATTGAATAGTGTCATGTGATTTATGGAGAGGAAGTTAGAGAAGGTATAGCCTGATTAAAAGTTTATTAGAAACATTATGGCTTATAATGCAGAATTAAATTCAGGGACTTAACAGGGAAGAAATTGAGGCTAAGTTCTAGATGGGTAATTAAGGTAAATGTGGAAGCACATTGGTGTAGAGCAGGGCATCCAAATTTTTCATGAATTAGTTGAAGAGCTTCTGGAAAATGGACATTGTCCTTCAGCACATGTGGGATTCTGCCCTTCTCAGGAGTAATCACGTGGTGTTGGTGCTGTTCCTTGGACACAGCTCTGAATAACAAGGAAATAGCCTTCCTTTAGAGAAATCTGGAAAAAGAACAGTTGGACAGCAATTTAAAAAAATAACAGAATCAAGGGAAGGCATTAATCTTTTATTTCTGAAGTAGGATTCTAGCTGCAGAGGAAGCAAAATGAGATGAAAATATAAATTATTGGTGTATACTACTGCTGAATACAGATGAAAAAAGTGGTGGCAATTATCCATAAAAAGCAGTTAGGAAGAGAAGCATCAGGATGACAGATCTAAAGATTACTTTGCAAAGATGGATTGTGAAAGGGCAAGGAGCGGGGAAGAAGAAAGTGTGTTGGGGGACTTTGGAGTTAAAACCAAGGAAGCTTCAGACACCTCACTTCCAGTTCCTTGGGCATATGCCCAGTCTAGCAAAAGTGGGTATTGCTGTGGAGAGTACTGGAGGCAGGAGGGAGTGCTAGAATTGGGGTAAACCACAGCAGCTAGTTTCTCTTCGTAACTGTCAGGCCTCAGAGCAAGAAGTTTCATTGACATGAGTGAATAAGATATAATTAAGTTGCATTTTGGCTAATTTTTTGGGAGGTCAGCCAGTTCTTTGATATGATGGCTCTTTTATAAAAGTCATTTACAGAGTAAGATGACATGCCAAACTTAGCTAATTTTAGAAGCAGTCATACTATAAAATTTATTCTCTGAATACCAAAATTGTCATTTTCTAGGAACACTGCACTGATCTTGAAATATAAAAGTTTATTCTTTTCTATCAGGACTGTGGCAATTCAATGTTTTCTTTTTTATTTTGATATTGAACGCTTATTTTAAATGGTTTATTTGATGTGTTTTAAGTCTTGTTCGAGTGGATCAACAAACTCTTAAGGTCAAACGAGAGGATATGAGAAATGTAGGTGTTTCAGTAGCCACGTGGGCATAGGAAAAAGAGAATTTTGAGAAACTGTTATTTCATAAGTGTGTATGATAGCTGATCAATTTATAACACTTTCTTTGATGAGAGGTGAATCACACATTCACCTGAACTTGCATCCCAACTGTGTATTTCCTAAGTGACAGGACAAGGGGAAGCACATGATAAATACTTGTGGTGTTCTGGCATCAATGCCTCTGATGTTTAAAGTTTAAATACTCTGTAGCATTCTCCATCAGCCTTGACATTGATTCTCTCAGGTTATGATTTGCTCCACTGTTTAATGACCCCTTTTATCCTTATCAGCCCAATGTGTTCACATTAATATCCATACTTTTCTATTTTAGTTATAGGCATTTGAAACAATCTCTTTTGAAATATAAACTTTGTGATTTAAGAATCCTATATTCCTATTTTACTCAGTATATTTCCATCACATTGCTGTCCTGGGCAAAGAAAAGATGATGCCAAAAAGAACGCTCAAAACCTTAAGTAATTGTTTTCATAGCCAAGCATGAGGACAGCTTGATACCAACCCTGCATGAATGTTTGGTTGGTCCCGTCATACCTACATATAACTGATGACACATCCTCTTTGCTTTGTAGGGCCTCCTGAATAACATCCTTCCTTGAAGGTAATTATATATATTTATTTTTAATTACTAACTTTATATTGTATAAAATATATTTGATTTATTAATTATTTTCTTTTAAAACTCATTCCCCTTACCACTGAAATGGAAGATCCTGTTGTGAGAGAAGCAGTACAAAGAAAGAATGTACAGACATCGGAGAGCAGGTACATTTTCAATACAAATGGAATGCTGCAAATAAGTACATTACATTATTGAAAGTACTCACATTCTTCTTACTCCTAATTCTTTTTATTATAAGTTGAATGGAAAGCATTGACATCAATGTTATTGTTGTTATCCATATTTCAATAAAAATAAATTTACAAGTGTAAGAAATCAAGATTTTAAAAATGTGAGTTTTAACTCATCTATTTCTATTTTAATATTTTGAATAGCATAACATTTCCAATACGGAATTTTTATACTTGTCAGGGATTCAAAGCAGGGAATTTCGAGACTCTGAGATATTTCCAGTGTCTTATGTGCTAGTTAGAATTCTGGTATTTACCTAAAGGAATGCTTTACTTAGATGTCAGTTTCTGTATTAACGTTAGAGACTTCGTGTTAATGTTACTACACCAATGATCTGAACCCAATGAGATGTTCTAACAAGTAGACTGTGCATGCATGTGGGTATGGTTGTGTTTGTGGCATCTTTGAGTATTAAAAACTAGGAAAGTAATCATTCATTCATAACTGGAAGATAGTCTTTGGTGGTTTTGAGACTTTTTGGTATAAAAGGTTTTTTTCAAAAATAATTACATAGAGGCGACCAACATCATGAACATCATTGAGGCTACCAACATCATTGGCTGTTTTCCATTTCAATACCCTTTTGATTTAACTGTACTGTGATGCTCAGAAATAATATGCACAATTTTATTTGTGTCCTAAAATGGAAGGTGAGTGGTTCTATACCTTACATATCTTTCTGCCACTTTCTTTTGTGTACTTTGTATTCTATTTTCCACATGTATCCACATTGATAAGGTTAGCTCTGGTTTAATTCATTTTACCCTTTTCATTGTATTTCCTTATACCACTCTACCACATTTAATTAGACTCTCCTGTTGCTGATAAATGAAGAAAGAAAAAAGAAAAAAAGAAAAAAAGAAAAAAAAATAGGCTGGGTATGGTGGCTCACACCTGTGATCCCAGCACTTTGGGAGGCAGAGGGGAGTGGATCATGAGGTCAGGAGATCAAGACCATCCTAGCCAACATAGGTGAAATCCCATCTCTATTAAAATATAAAAAATTAGCTGGGCATGGTGGCACGTGCCTGTAGTCCTAGGTCTACAGGAGACTGAGACACAGAAATCGCTTGAACCCGGGAGGCGGAGGTTGCAGTGAGCCAAAATTGTGCCACTGCACTCCAGTCTGGCAGCAGAGCAAGACTGTCTCAAACAAAAAGAGAAAAGGAAAAATAATGTCAGATTAAACGGGGCTTTTGTTTTAATCAGTTTGTGTCTGTGAATATTTACTAAATGAGAGTTTAAGGCTGAGAAGTTCAGAATGCAAGCATGCACCACCATAGTTTACAAATGCCCTTAGAATTATGACTCATGAGCCTTTAGCCTATGAAGTTATAACAATTCATTTCTCTAAAGAAGTTTACTGTTCTCTTAAAAAAAAAAAAAAGACTGAAAATAGCAAATGACATTCTTATTTGACCTCTTATACATTCTTGAATGAAACTGCAACTTACGTCAAAATTCACAACCAGCGTTTTGAACAATAATTTGTGAATGTCTTGTGATCATGAGCACTTGAGGATGAAATGGCCTTTCAAGTTTTACTTTTGCATTTTTTGCTTTTCTTGACTTGTCTTACAAAAGCTTAAATTCAACAGTTTTATTTCTACAGAAAGCAAGAATATAATTTTTTAATATATTTCTGTTCTGTCTCATGGCATTGAGAACTCTTGAGATCTAGTGTGGACCTAGACTTATTTTTACACGGGAACAATTAGGTTTGTTTCTTTGTTGTTGTTGAGACAGGGTCTTGTTCTGTGATGTGGTTCAGAGTGGATAAGCTCTTAAAGCAGTCATCTTTCCAGTGGCTCTTTGTGTGGGAGGTAAAATGGCAGGTGAATTTGGGCCTTGTTACATGTAGGGCAGAGCACATAGCTACAACTAAGTGAAACACCCAGCACCTTCCCCAAGAGTACTGGCCAGAGTAACACATCTCTTGAGCTCTTCTGCACTGGCAGCTGGAAATTCTTTGCAAGAATCCCTGTTTCTTGTCTGATTCCTATGTTTTGCTGACTTCTGGTGATAGGGCAACAGTTTTAACTGAAGAGCTAGAGATAATGTGTTGTGTTAAAATGAGTAAGTGCAATAGTTCCCCCTTCACTGTGGGAGATACATTCAAAGTCCCCCAGTGAATGCTTGAAAGCACAAATAGTACTGAATCACTCACTGGTTTTTTTCCTATAGTTATATATCTTTGTTAAAGTTTAATTTATAAATTAGGTGCAGTAAGAAATTAACAATGAAAAATAAAATGAAAAATTATAGTAATGTGCTGTAATAAAAATTATTTGAATGTAGTCTCTTAAAATGTATGGTTGTCACCCTTTTTCCTGTGATGACGTGAAGTGATACAATGCCTATGTAATGAGATGAAGTGAGTTGAAGGCATTGTCATATAGTGTTAGGCCACTATTCACCCCTGACTCTAAGTTGGAAAAAAGATTATCAGCTTTGAGTGTTCCTAGACCTTCAGGCCTCAATGATGTTGATGGCTGGATGCAGGAGGAGACCATGTTGATGACTAATGGCTGGACAGCACGTGCAGTGTGAATTCACTAGACAAAGGAATGATTCACATCCTGGGATGAATAGAGGGCAATAGCTCAAGACTTTATTTTGCTTCTCAGACAGGGATACTAACACTTAGGACTTGTTTATTTCTGGAGTTTTCAATGTAATATGTTTGGAGTACAGTTAACTGTTAGTAGCTGCAACCACATAATTCAAAACTACAGATGTAAAATCTGTGTTTGGACCTTGACTCATTTCTTGGTGTACAATTCTTAAATTCCTTAGAATTTTCAAAGTGATGTCTTTTGGTATGCTAATGATTGATGACTGAAAGCTAGATGGATTCAGGATGGGAACTGGTCACCATCCTGAAGACATGACTGATTAGAGCTGGCTTCCCCAAACTGCGGCCCCGAGGCCATTTACCCGGCCCCCTGCTGCACTTCAGGAAGGGGAACCTCTTTCATTGGTGGTCAGTGAGAGGAGCACAGTATGTGGCGGCCCTCCAACGGTCTGAGGGACAGTGAACTGGCCCCCTGTGTAAAAAGTTTGGGGATGCCTGGATTAGAGGGTTGAGACCTTCTTTCTCACTCTGCAAACTCTGGGGAGTAGAGGAGGGCTGAAGGTTGTCAATCACCAACAGCCAGTGATTAATTAGTGATGCCTATGTATTGAAGCTTTCATAAAGACCCAAAGGGACTGGGCTTGGAGAGCTTCCAGATGGCTGCATACATGGAGGTTCCTGGAGGGTGGTGTGTCCTGAGAGGGCATGGAATCTCTGTGCCACTATCCCCATACTTAACACTATGCATCTCTTCATCTGTACCTTTTGTAATGTCATTCATAGTAAGCTGGTAAGGTGTTTCCCTGAGTACTTAAAAGCCGTTCCAGCAATTCAATTTAACCCAAAGAGGGAGTCCTGGGAACCCCAATTTGAAGCCGACTGGTCAGAAGTTCTGGAGTTTCAGACTTAGGACTGATGCAGAGAGGCAGTCTCATGGGACTGAGCCCTTTACCTGTAGAATCTGATACGATCTGCAGAGTGTGAGAACTGAATTAGATGACACCCAGTTTGTGTCATCTGCAGAAGTGATTACTTGCTAGTTGGTGGGGAAAACCTCTCCACATGTTTGGTCACAGAAGCCTTCTTTGTTGATGATTGTTGCTGTGGTGAGAGAGTAGAGAAAAACATGGCAAGTGTGTCTTTTTCAACATAGAGTGGATAAGGGGTACTACTGTTTACTCTGTTTTAACTGTCCTCTCATATTTTGGTCCAGAAATCATGCCATTTGACACTGGTCACTCATTCCATCCGTTCTGCTAACAATACCATTTTTAGCCAATCTCATAGGATTTGGCTAGGATGACTTGTATACTACAGTTCACTTGTCGATATCAAATTTTGATAAATTTATTCTTTGCATTTAATACAAAGTAAGGGAAGTAAGAGTTCTTACTGCATTAATTACATACCAATAGATATAATTTATATTAATCCTAATAAGGTCCCAGGTATGCTCTCAAATGAATGCTTTATAACAAAGCATAAGTCCTATAAAGAAAAATTATTTAAATCATGTACACAACTGTGCATACTTTTTAAAAATGAAGATAGTCTTGCTATGTTTCCTAAAGCCTCAAACTTGTGGGTTTCTCAAGTGATCCTCCTTCCTCAGCTTCCCAAATACTTGAAATTACAGGCATGCATCACTGTACTTTCTTATGGTTTTAATATTCTATACATTATTGATTTAAAATGCATTTTACCTATTCCCTTAATAGATTCTGGGAGTTCTGATGAATCTGCAGTCAGGTAGGATTTTACAGATTTAAAAAATTAAGTTAACTAAGAAAATATAGATGGAAGAAACTAGTATTATTGAGTGTTGTATTCTGGGCTAACCACCCTATTGTGTGCTATAAATTTATCTCATAAAGCCATCACAACATTATAACCTACTGTTTATTAAATAGGCAACCATGGTTTAGAGAGGTTGATTAATTGGATCATAATCCCATAGTTCACAAAGCAGCTGACCCACAGTTTGACTGTCAGCCTATCTGGCTGTCAAATCTTTTATGTTGCTCCTCAGTACAGACTGATGGAGATACCTGTGCAGTGCTTTGATCAATGTAAGGTCTGAATAAGATTAGTCAGATTAATTTTAATTAATGTCTAAATTAATGAGTTTTAAAAAGTTAAACTTTCGGCTGGGCGCGGTGGCTCACACCTGTAATCCAAGCACTTTGGTGGCCAAGGTGGGCGGATCACCTGAGGTCGGGAGTTCAAGACCACCCTGACCAACATGGTGAAACCCCGTCTTAAAAAAAAAAAAAAAAAAAAAAAAAAGTTAAACTTTCAATTTAAGTTACTTTTAGAAATGAGGTT